TGATTTGCAACCATGTAACGGGCTTTTGTCTGGGCCCATTTCTCGCCGCCGGGAGGGTTTCTGTGTTCCCTCTCCGCAGGGTCCCGATGTTCCCCCTCTGGCTACAAAGGCCGGGGGCTGCAGCCCCTCCCCGCCGCTCCCCCCCGCTCTGCCCACGCTGCCCCCCCCAGCAGCCTGGGGGGCTACGGGGGTCGGGGGCTCTTCAATTTCGGGTTCTGTAGGAATTGCCAGGCTTAAAAATAGCTTTTACTCATCTTTTTAACTCTTTTTTTTCCTCCCGAGTTTACATTAAGCCTGTTGGGTATTTTGTTCCCTGTAGGAAAGTTAAAGGTATTTATAAGTCTAATTAGAGGCATTTATAAGAGTGATTAGTGTGAAGCATCAGCTGCTGGCAGGATTCTGTGTGTGTGTGTGTGTCTGTGTGTCTGTGTGTTCACACATGGATACAACACTACAGTTCACAATTTGTTCCTGTGCCTGAAAGCTGTGAAATGCCCTTAATTCCCCTGGCAGTTATGGCAGCAGTGGGCACTGGCTGGCTCCAACCACAGACTCAGCACCACACAGGATCACGGCTCTAGGGAGGTGTTGTGATTCCGTGTCTTCATGCAGTGATGTGGCAGCAAGTGGCTAAGCAATAAAAAAAATAAAATTTTAAAATGAAAAAAAAAAAAAAAAGAAGAAAAAGGCTGTATGTGCTGAAAGCTGCTGTTAGGCTCGTAGGGACAGACACCAACATGTCCCCACTCCTGCCTGCCCATGGGCTGCCTTGCAATCTCTTGTCTCGCAGGTGCAAGGTCTTCTTTTCCCCTTTTCCTTTGCTGCTGGGCATTGACGCTGCATCCTCACCCTCCATGGGTGGGTCCCTTGGAGGAGAGGCTCCCACAGAATCTGCTTTGGGGAACAAAACCATCTGAAAGCAAACTCAAACCCCAGTGTGAGTTGTGGAGCAGGATGAGTGGCTGCCCCAGAGCAAGGGAAGCTGGAAACCAGCTGTGCTGCAGCCACTCCACTGAACACTGCCAGTGCTCAGCTCTCGTCCCTGAGCCATGCCCCTGCCAGGGGGGCAGCTCCCACCCTGCACACACAACTGCTTCTCTGGGTCCTGTTCACCTGGCATGGCACAGTGGGGAGAAAGCTGGTGGCAGGGAGGGAGGCTGATGCAGCAGAGAGTGCTTCCAAAATATCCAACCTGTGAACCTCGATGCTGCCAGCCTCGAGCCACTGCTGGGCAGGACCTGCCATCAGTGTGGGGCAGCCTCACAGGTTGCTCTGGATCCAGTGAGGACTCCCTCAAGCACTTCAGCTCAGTGAGAGCAGCACCCAAAGAAACACAGCTCAGCCACCAGGCTCAGTGCTGGGCTCCAGTGCTGGCACAAGCAAAACTGCATCTGACGAGATTTTGAGCCAGGTGTAAGTGCTCACAGGTGCAGAACCTCAGCACTGTCCATCTCTTAGGACTCCTGGAACAAGTGTTTGTGTATTTGTGTCTCCCTTAAACCAGGGGCAGCCTCACAGGGAGGGCTGGCTGCCTGCAGAGACACCTCGAGCTAGAGTTGCTTAAAGCACCTTGAGGCAACTCCTATGAGTTCAGGCCTTCATCGACCAGGGATTTCTTTTTTCTAGTCATCATATAAACAGAACTAAAAGGTCAGTGCTGCCCCCACATGCTTACAAAAGCTTTTGGTTGGAATGGCTTGAGAAAGATAGGGAGATATGTAGGGAACACTTTAATAATGTATTTGTTTTGCATAGCTGTGGTCTGTTTCCCTGTAACAAAACAAACAAATGAAAAAATCTTCCTTGATTTCTACTTTTAAAAACTTGAAAGAAAAACATGCTCAGATATATCCACATCAATTTCAGAACTGTGTTTAAAGCAGTTTCTGCAAAAACCATTTGTAGTGCAGTTACACTGGGGATAGTTTATAGGGGTGGTTTAGCTTGACTTTTAATTTTTTTTTTAGGGAGACATTAATAACATGATGGTCCCCAAAATCACCTACAAAACAATCTTCTTTTCACTTAGCCCCCTGTGTCTAGTCCATGTTATCAATATAATCCACACAGTGATTTTTCTGAAGGCAAACTTTTCCTCACTTTTTCATTTTTCTTCTGTCCATGTTTGTACAGCTACAGAAAGTCCCACACAAACTGAAGGTGAAACACAAAGCAGAGGAGTTACAATGAACTCACTTTACTCCAAGTAGTAACAAGTGACCATGTGAAGCGATGTACAAAATCAAGCTATTTTTCTCTCTCTACTCTTTTCAGCAACAGGGAGGTTAAGGTATCCCTCCTGGTAGGGGGTGAGACTCAAATGTCACGCTGAAGAAAGATGTTGTGTATGTCCCTTTAAAAACTTTGAACAGAAACAGGTTTAAATTTGAATCTAAAAAGATAAAGTGAGCTGGGTTCGATCTGGAACGGGATAAAATATTTCATGCTACATCTCTCTCAGGAAAAAAAACCCACTTTTTTTTTTTAAATCTAAATGTTGCTTTTGAAAATTTTCAGTGGGAAAATGTTAAAACACTGCTTTATTTTATGATCACAGACTGTTCATTTCACTTCAGAATTACAGCAGTGAGACCCAGACCCTGCAAACAGGGTGGGGATTCAGCTTGGAAATCCCCAAGAGTTCTGGCTCAGCTTGCCCTTGGGCACAAAAAACAGGCACCACAGACGATAAATTTGTTTCAAAAAAGCAGTGTTTGCCTAAGAACACCCCAGGTGTGTGGGTAGGAACGTTCAGGCAGGACATGGGCTGGTGCAGACCACCAGTGCCCACCCAGCCTCAGTGGCAATGAGGGGTTTCACCAGCTGAGTCTGCCCAAACAGCCCCAGAGGGTGTTCTGGGGTCCCCATGGGGCTTCAGCAGGTGGCAGCCCCAGTCAGGTCATTGCTGCTCTGACACTGCACCAAGCCAGGTCTGTGGGCTGAGCTGACAGAAAGCCATTCCCTTGTTCTGTTGGACAGAGAGAGGGATTGGGAAGGTGGTGGGAGGGCTGAGGGGACAGGGAGGTGCAGGCAGTAGAAGGTTGCAGATAGTCCCCATTACTGGACTCCCATGAAAGTTCAGCCTGGGCAGAAGGAAGAAGCAAAGCTTCCCCTTGGTCTCTAACACTGACCATGTCAATGGCTGGGCCCAATTTTTGTCAATGTACCCCTCAGAGGGTCTCAGTGTACAAAGTACCAGACAGGTATCTTCTTTGCACACGAAACTCTTAAGTATCATCTTTCAGGAGGATTGATTTATTTATTTATTTTCCCATGCAAGAGAGTTCAGCTTTAAAATGAAGCCTACCATTTTTTTTTCTCCTGTTCTCTGTAGATATTTTTTGCAGTCCACAAAGGAAACTTTACCACAACAAATTTCATTCAATCTTCATTTTAGTCTTTGTTAGAGTCTCATTTGAATATATCTACTAAACAGACCTGTCTTCTTGCCCAGACTTCTTTCAGCTTTAGCTGTCCTACGTGTGAAATCTACCAACTGTAATTCAGGTACTTCAGGGCTTCAGCAGAAAAACAAAAATAAATCCAAGGCATTGAATTCAGAGAGTACTTAGACCAGCAGTGGGGCTAAAGAATAGATTGACTTGGATGGAGGAACCACAAAACTTTTGATCCTGCTTTCCTAATTAGCCCGGTCACATGAGTTCAGGTACCAAAATCATAACTGAAAATATATAAATGTCATAAAACCACACAAAAATTACTACAAAAGTATTTTAATGTTTTCTGATTAGAAATTCCATTTTTAGAAATATAACAAATACAAATGGCATCATTACTTTGTAAACATCTTCCCTTAAATCCTTTTAAATATAAATGCAGATTTTAAATACAGTTACACAAAAAAAAAAGTGTAGAAAAAGAACAAATTGTTATGATGCATTTGAGAAATGTCCTGAAGTGAATTTTAAAAGGACATGAGTTTATGATAAAATATATCTGGAAGAACAACATTTTTGGTTTGTTTAACAGTCCTCAAAATTTTCTATCAAGAAAGCTGGATGGGCACTCTCTGTACAATCCCTCATTATTTTCAATTATTAGTTTGTTTGCCATTAGGTAGTAGAAGTGAAACTACTTTGACTTTGTTATAAATAGCCAGTGGGAGTTCTGAGAAAGGTATATTAAATACCAGAAGGAAAATGAGCAAGAAGATGTAAAATGGAGCCTGATCCTGCTAACCCTTGCTCTTCCAAGCAATCCTCTTTCTTTTCTACTTACTGTGCAGTGTAAGAACTTCAGGATTAAGTCAGATCTTGGAACCATAATTCCATTTATTTGGAGAGGCAAACATGCCTTTTGCTCAACATAAATGTTTTCATTTAAAAGGAGGTTGTCAAGTCTGAAAGCGCATTAAATTCACGTTGAGAAGAAACTTTTTGCACAGTTTCTCACAGGCCGGAGGACTGTGCAGAACCGAAGGGATGGGATGGATCTCAGCAATTCCAGCACCCAGAGCAGCCCAGAGCCGCCCTCCCCAGCCCCTGTCACCACGTGCCCCGACGAGCAAACACCCCCTGCGCTCACACGCCTGGATGCACATGACAGACGCGGATTCAGCTTTGCCAGAGACCCCTCGGGTGTCCAACACCTGCAGGAACTCCGGGACCACCGATGTCTCCCAGTGCCCAAGCACCCCAAGAACCCATCTGGCCCCCACGCAGCCCCTTCGCCACCACAGTCGCTTCTGCTCCAAGTCAGCAGTGGGGAAAAGCTCCTGGAATTCCAGTATCGCATCCCCGTCACGAGGCTGGTGGGGTGCTGACAGCTCAGCAGCACGTTACGCTTGCTTGGGATGGGAAAGAGCAGTTGGGGAAAAAAGCAGCAGACACCACAGAGAAACAGTGCCATGCACTGAAAGTTGATGTTAAGTCATCCATCACCAACCTCCACTTGAAAACAAGCGTGCCAGCAGTGGTACAAGCACACACACGTGTGTGCACACAGATGCTCACAACTGACTCATTTTATGCGGGTTTTTGTTCCTCTTGAATTATCTCCTATAGATAGGAAAGACAGAACAGAACGTGATTTACTGTTCACAACATTTTTCAACAATATTACAAAAGTTACCAACAAAAAAAAAACAGTCCCTCATAGCAACCTGTAAACCCTTTCTTTCATGTATTAACAAACAGCTAATTCTGAATTTTTACTTACAACACTCAGGTCTGAGTTTTGTTAACATTTTTGAAACCTGCATCAGAAGCTTAATCACAAACAGTCAAAGCATCCTTTTAGAGCATTCTTAACTAAATAGCATCATATGTAGTCCCTGTAAAGGACTAAAAATATTCTGCTGTGATTAGGTTTTTTGTTTTTACATTTCGTCCAGGTCAGGAGTGCTGCAAAATAGCTCAGCAGTTGCCATCCTTATAATAGTTTGGATTCAGCTAATGGATGAATATCACTGACTCATACATTCTTTTTCAAAGAAAAGTGGGTTGAGCCATTAAAGAACCAAAAAACAAGTAATTTTTACCCCCAAACTAATTAGACTTCTCTTAAAAGAGCACTAGGGTATATTTTTTCTCAGTTCAATATGAATCCGTTCCTTTTCCCCAATTTCAGTTAGTTAGGTATGAAAGTCTCAGGACTTACTCAAGGGTTTTCAGTGTCTCAAGTGTAAGAAGAGAGTCGTGTTACTCATGTTTACCTCTGTCAAACAGCAGTTGGAATATAGCCCTCCTGGGCAGAACACTGTGAACACATTAAAGCAGTAAGTGATTCCTGGGAAATTCATAAAATGTCCTTTTCTAATGACTCAAGGTATTTTTGTGGAGGCAGATTATTTACTATTTTTAGCTTTTCCCAGTGTCTAGCTTGTCTAATTGCTCCTTGTGCGAGTGCTCTGGCCCCGGGGCTATTTTTCAGCTCTAATTGCAAAGGAAAGGATTACATGGCTTTGCTTGTGCTGGAGATGGGGCTCAAACCCTCAGAAAAACCTTCCTCTGCTGATTTCATACCGACCCAGCACATTCACTCGATTTGCTGGTCTCATCTATAACTTCAAGCCTGCTGACAACATGACCACAGGTAGGTGGGTACCTGTTGTGTGCTGCCAGCTCTTGGGGGAACAAGTCAGTCTGACTAGTGCTGGAGTTTTCAATTGGGGGGTCCCTCATTTACTTATACAGTACAGCAATTACCAGAGGTGTTACCTTTGCAATTTTCTTTGAAAAGTCATGGAGAGATTCATATAAAATGTTCCTTGTTGCAATTCTAGCTGAAAATCCAGGAAAAAAAATAATGAGATCAGGATCCACGTTGGAAATGGGCACCGAGCAGACAATTTTTATTATAAAGCTATCCACTTGCCTGCTTACCTACCTAAGTTTGAGGAAGGAAAATCGAAGTGCCAAATTACTTTGACTTTGTTAAAAATGCCAAAATGCCACAATCAGAACTACCTCAACGGTACCACCTGAACTTTCAGAAGATGTGCCCAGATTTAGTTAACACTATTTTGTGGATGCATGCGAGGGCTCTTCAGGATGTTTTCATCTCACCCCACTGTGTAACTTTACCAAGCAGCAGCCTGGCAGAAGCACCTCTCATTTCCCAGCTTAAAACTTGGGCAACTCACAGCACAGCTCCTCCCAGAGAGCAGAGAGATGGATCTCCTCTAGGAAGGTGGAAATCTCAAATCTGCAATTTTGCCTTGTCTACATAAAGAGTGCTTGCAGTTTGGCCCGAGCCTGAATTTGCCATTAAAGTAGCCCTTGTCTATACAAATGTTATGAGACAGTCCAAGCACCGTCACAGCCTGGTACATCACTGTGAAAAAGCAGTCACTGTCATCTCCTGCAAGGGTACAGCAGTCCTCCAGAGCAGCATCTATCTGAAAATAATTTCATTTTCCTGTGATAATACAAACATTAGCACAAAGGCCTGGTCTATAAAAGCAATTCTGCAACACACGATATCTTCAAATCCTGGTCTGAAATGTTCCACAGGCAGTTGGAGTGTCCAAGGCTGAGATGTGAAAGCACCAATGTATCCACAGCTATGCAAATATTAGGAACTACTGATGTCTCAACACATGTAACATCTTACATTATATTTAGCAGACTCCATTTAAATTAACATGCCTATAAGCTATAAATATTTACAAGAACTTGTGAAAAAAATAGTACAGATTCAGCCAAATAATTTTTCAGCTGTTACTGATTTGAGTTTAGTCAGGGTTTTTACCTCTTGGGAGACAGAGGTTCCTGAATATTCCAGCAGTCTCTAAATCAGTAAGAACATTTGAGACACTGTCCTCCTGCATGCCCAGATACCCATGGGTTTGCTCCATGTCTCCTGCTTGCCCTGCAGCCCATGTGATGCTTTGTTTACTCACTGCACAAGCAGATACGTACAACAGCCATTCCCCGGGAGAATGACTTGTCTCTGAGTCCACGGTTTTCTTATGCTGGAGTCTGCAAACACTGGGCAGCTGATGTGTTCCCCTCCTCCCCGCTCAGCTACCCTCTGTGTTTTGGGTTCAGAGTGAAACTATCCCAGACTCAGGGACCTCGGGAGAGCAGGACTTGGGAAACACGAGGAGAGACACTGAGGGCACGAGCGTATTATCAGAAAGAATTTGAGTGCTCCCAGCAGCCCAGCAGCAAATTAGAAAGTTTTGGCTCCCGAGAATGAGTTGTGTTGTTTGTTCCTGCATACTGCAGCTGCTCGTCCCTCTCCCTCCCCAACCCCCTCCTTTGGGTGGTTTATTACACACAAGCTACTAATGAATGGGAGCCGCTGTTTTACAGTACACCACACTTACAGGACTTATCTCTAGGCCTACCACAGATTTGACTGATCAACAGCAGGGCACCACCATCATAATTCTTCCTAGAAACAGGAGGATAAAAAGGGGTTTGTTGGAGGTTGGCTGTGTCTGCAGAGAATCCTGCCTGCAGGGCCTGCTGATGCCATCGCTAGCTGCTATGGTCTTTGGCCTAATAAGGTACAGAAACAAAGATTGTTCACTTGTTCAAGAATACTAAAGTACCCAAGTGACGGAAAGTGGAGGCAGCAGGGCACACATCCAAGTGGGATTAAGGCCACAAGTGCAACGTTACAGGGCTGACTGGGTGGCAGAGGGAATATCTGCCTCTGAAAAAAAAATCCCGTTCAAACATAATTTATAACATGTCACTCACAGTCAGAGGTGGCTGTCATTAAGAGTTAAATGTTGCATTGTGTTCAACTTATTCTGATAAGAATTCTCTAAGCTGCTTATATGTTATCATAACTCACGAATAACTGGAGCGTGGGCATGGGGAGGGGGGGAGGCTGTCTGGGACAGGATGGGACCCAGGCTGGGAGGCAGAAATGCTGGAGCAGAGCTGGACTGCTGGGACCTCAGTGTAGCGTACCCACAGCCTCCAAAGACTCTGCAGTGAGTCTTAAAGCCTGCTAAGCCCATAATACTTGTCAAAGTCCAGACTCTACTTGGACATATGTACCTTCTTTTAGTTTTTAGTTTTATGCACTTGTCCCAGATAGGGAGCCGGGCAGTAACACCTAAAGGATCTAAAATGGTGCATTCAGCCTCTGTTCAGCTGGTCTGTACAGTAGGGCTGTCTGTGGAGGATGAATTCCCCATAGCTGGAAGGCTTAAGAGGTGGCATTGAAGGAGAAAAAAATGGCCAGTGTCGTAGCCAAGTAAAAAGCCCTAAGTTAATACTGCTCACTGGAAATGGGACTAGGAACCCAACAGAACAGCAGTGAAGCAGCTTCTTTGGGGACAATATTAAATGCTGCTGACTGGCTTGGCAGTTTGGAAGCAGTAGGATTGTTTTCTCTGGCTTAGGGAAACCCAGCAACAGACCCCACTGAAGTTCAAGGAGCTAATTCAGGCCCAATCCTACTAAACTTTACAGGCTTACTAGGAAAACTTTTCCCTACATTTTTTCCCTACCTCATTTTAGGTAGAGAGAGAAAAACCTGTGTGGAATAAGAAGAATTAGAGTCATAGGATCCTGTCCATTCTCACCGGTCTCTCAATATCAGCAGATAGCAATTACCCACTGTAATTCCCAGTTAGAAGTGTTTCTCTAGTGCAACTCATTCGGAAAGCAGCAGTTTGTTTACTCACTGGCTTGGGCTACCTGGATCACATTACACCTGCTGGGGCTGCAAGTAATGTGGGAGGTTCATTTTAAACTGGCACTGTTGCTTTTATAAAGCCTTTAATGTCATAGGCTCTGGCTGTGTTCGAGATCTCACCCATCAAGCCAAGTCTTAAGGGAGTTTGGGCTGAGACATCCCAGTCCCCCATTCCTCTGTCACTCAAGTCAAAGATCACAACTTTTCTGCGGTAGGTGTGGGACAAATATTTCAGTACCTGCTCTCCATGCCAAAACAGCCATCCCTCAACTTTGCACAGTCACTGATATAACCTTCTCTTGGCTTTTCCAACTGCATTTCTTAGTTACACACACCAGGGCCTTGTGGTGTATCTGACCCTGACTTCTCTGCCAGGTGCCAGAGGATGAGCTACAAATGTGAGGGTACAAGGAGTCTGGAAGGAAATATTACTCACTAATAGCCCCAGAAGAACAGTGAGCAGTCTCTGCACAGCTTTACCCTGAATGGGAACAAGATAGAGGTTACTGGAGTACCAGTGGTGGAAGGGCTTCAACAGTTTCCATGCCCCCAAACCCTGGATTGCCAGTTTGCTCTTGGTGCCTCTCTACAGCTTTCAAATTTAGTCCAGTCAAGGGAGAAGGAACTGAATGTCTTCCCTGCTTCCCTGAAGCATCATTTTGGTATGTCGTCTGTACCTGGCCTGACTAAACACCAAGGGTCTTCAATTTTCCACATTATAGAAACACTGTAGGAAGTACCCAGTTTTCTGAGTACCAAGCTGAAATACAAACATCTTACCTGCTACCACAGTGCTGTCTTCACACGTGCTTGAAAGCCAACAGGTTAATCACAGTGAGCTCTTGGTGTCCAGAGGTGGCTGCTTCATGTATGCCCATGGGATGCTGCAGGACACTGGGGCAGGGATGTGGAGGCTACAGGGGCTGCACAGTGTGTGTGCAGACACCACATAATGCCAGAGTGCATTCAAGTTTGTAGTCTCTACAACTCTAAGGAGCTGATAACTTCAAACCTCTGTCCTTGCAGAGAGCAGACACTTCACTGTAGCCACCTCTCTCCATGGTGAAACAGCGGATGGATGAGATGGGAGCTGCATCCACCCATTCCTCCCATCCAGCCACAGCAGCATCTGGAGCACACCTACATGTGGGAGGTGGACACCCAGAAATGTATCTGAGGGTGGCTGTCCCCACAGGGGGGACGTGTTTGGCCCTTGTGCAGCCTTAAAGGTGTGCATGTTCAAATACATTTGTCTGGATGCAAGTTACGGTAAACAAGCAAAAAAAAAAAAGTTAAAAATAGATGTAATTGGTGTGTGAAGACAAGTTTCACCCGGCTCTGACCCTCTGAGTAGAGGCGGGTAGCAGATTAACTATGCAGCTCAGAGACCGTAAAGGCTTGCAGAGGAACAATTAGGCTAGAATTTGCATTTCGTGAAATTGAACCTTTTATAAAACTTACAACACAGCTAATGACAAAGATTTCTTCAAATAAGTATTTCCCTCTGATCTTTGTCACGTGGGTTTGTAGCATCTTGCCAGTGTGTGAGAACCTAAAAATGCGAGAGGCAATTTTTCAGAAAAAATGAAGCTCACTGGTTTATCTTTACCATCTGTGTGGACTGTAAACAGAGAGAATAAATAAATAAATACTGAAAAATACATTTGTTTTAAATAAATGTGAACAAAGGGTTTGACACATTTGCAGTATGTAATACTGCTTTTAAAACATATTTTTAACCACCTCACACATTCAATTAAATACAGAAAACTCTCTAGGTTATATTTGCATTCTGGAAGAGCAGCTACAAAAGAAAGTGTAAGTGCAGCAAATCTTTCTGAAAATAAACTGATTTGAAGAGAGAATGAGTTCTCCCTGAAAGGCTGCAGCACCACTGACTTTGTAATATTACTTGAAAAAGCTGCAAGTATCTTATTTTTCCTCCTAAAAAAGACCCACTTTGGGAAGGACAGACTGACAGTTTGGTCTACGCTCCAAGAAACTATGAGAAAAATCACTTCTGGCAGTATATTTTCAGTTAGGTCTCTTCTTTTCTCCAATATTCAGGGAAATTTCTAATGCAGTTAATAGTCTTTACTTAAAAAAAAAAAAGGCAGCAATAAATGATGGAACAAAACTGAATCCCTTTTCCAGGCAGTGACACTGCCACTTTAATAGTTTCCCACTGTACTTGGGGTTAGCTGCCAGAGAAGCCTTGTTCAGCCTATTTGGGGCCCCCATGAAATGCTGCAAGCGTTACTGAAATGAGCACTTGTCTTTTGTTGAGCTGCATGCTAGCACCATACAGTGCTGAGCTGATAAATCCACTTTTTCTAACACAAGCATTTTTCAAACAAAACTACCATGAGACTGATGAGTAATGCCAGCTTGCCAAAAAAAAAAAAAAAAAAAGACACACACCCCTCGCAGCCGCTGCTGACACTGACAGCTGTTAAATTCACATATTCACAAAATGAGATGGGTTACATAACTGGAAATTACAAGAGCAACTCACCAGCGAGAGGAACTGCTAAGCAAGGCATCACTGGGGCTCAGGAAGGAATAGATCACACATTTCAATGTGTGCTGGCCCACTAATGACCACGACAAAGCTGAGCTCTGCCTGGAGCACACAAAGGTTACCGGGCACTCCACACCACGCATCATCAGGCTGTTTGTAGTTTGTTCGGGGTTGGGGTTTTTATTCTGCAAAGTGAGGATGCATGTGGAAAAAAAAAATATACCAGTGCTGCTATGTGTGTTACAAACACAAGGGTAGTTTAAAAGCCCAAATGTCACTTTATGCAAGGCATGACACAAAAGCCTGACTCTAAAAGGCTTATCAGCAAGTCTTCAGCAGCTAAAAGACAGCAGTGGAGAAGGTGAAGTGTTGGGTAGAGTTAGATTTGACAAAACCTAGGTGGGTTTTAATTTGCATCAAATCTTCCAGGGATATAAAAGCACTTTGCAAAGTTCTTATTATTATTCTTATTTTATGCTGAGCTCAGGAGATGGTCTGTACTCTGCTGATGCAGGGCAGGAAGGCAGTGACAGAACGTCACCCCACCACCAGATCACCTGCCTTTATTTCAGTATCTATTTCTAGATTGGCTTGAAAAACTTTGACAAAAGCATCTGATTCTGGAAGAGCCGTGGGGCAGATGATGGAGGAAAGGCATCATTAAGGGCTCCTGAGAAATGACAGGTTGTGGAGCTGGTGTAACAGTGCAGAAGGAGCAGGGAGGGAAGATGGCAATGTTTGCAGAAGCTGCCAGACCCCCACGTGTTGCTGAGATTGCCAGAAATGGGGTTCTGAAGAGGGCTGATCTGGACATAAATCAAAGCAGAAAACAATGCATGTCTGTATGAATAGCAACAAAAAAAATCCTGTAATTAAACCACCAGTAACCTCAAGCTAAATTTTTTACATCCAAAATAGTCTGTGCTTCCATTTTGTCTGCTCATGGCTGAATTCATTCTTGTTATATAGTAAGAGGTTTTGGGTTTTTTTTATAAAAAGTATTCAACCTGGTAGAAAAACAGCACATAAAAGCTTTTTTATAAGCAAGTTTATCAAACAAGAACTGAACATGAAATTACTAAACAAATGCATAAAGTTCCATGTGCTTTATCATGTTACCTGTAGTAAACTAGGTTAATGCGAAATCAAGATGCACTGACAAATCATGGGGAAAAAAGAAGAAACACAGAAATGAGTGTTTTGAGAGTGATGTCACCTAAGCCAGGGTGTAGGTACAGTCTGCTGCGTAGGAGAGCAGTGAAAGCATAAACAGAATACTAGATGTGCATTAAGCCACAAACAGAAATAGCTGTGAACAATGGCAAAGTCTGGTTGCTCTTGGAACCATAATGTAAGGAAACATCCTTATAAAAGATGAGACAATAGCGGGTCTATAAATGACAGTCCCGTAGGCAGGGAAGGATTAAGAACTTCCTATAGTTCCTTAGGTATCAACATATATTGTAACCCTTTCACAAACACTTCTGCAAGTGCTTCTCTGACTTAGTCCACCCAGAATAGGAAAAAGCATCAGAATTAGTTTGGCTTTTCTTCTGGATACCAGCCACACACACTCAAGGCAGAGAGGAAGAAGTATAAGGAGAAGGAAGCGCAGCATTTGTTCAGGACTTTTTGCCAGCACACCTGTAAGTCCAAGCACTCCCTTGCTCTCCCTGCTTCCTCCAGAACACACAGACCTTTGCCAGCCCTGATCTGGGCCATGGCAACATGCTCCTTTCTATAGCAGTGCTTCTCCATCTCTGTGAAGTGCTGGGAAACGGGGAGCTTAGACACCAGCAAACACAAACTAGGCTGAGGCTTCAGCATCCATTTATTACTTTTATTTTCTTAGTTTTATTTTGAAGTGGATTTTTTTTGTTATTGTTTTGCTTGCTTGCAGGGGTAATAAAACGCATTCATTTAACTGGGCATGCATTTAATCTGAAAACATTAACAAAATGCCTTCTAATGCCTCATGGCCCATGGGCTGAGATCTGTTCCTGTACAGCAAACATCCTCTGAGCTTTCAGGCTAGTACATTACTCTCTGATCACAGATCTTCTTGCAGACTGTAACATATTCTTCTCATAAAAATTGTTATAGAAGACTATGAAGATTACTATTTAATACAATTCCACAGACCACCCGCAGAAAACTTGCCAAGGCCTCATGGATTACCAGTGATCCATAGGATAGGGGCTGGCAACCACCACAGACTTTGGTAATTCTGACTGTTTATCTCTAGCACTGCCTTAAGCCCATTCATACACATCACTCTACTGAAACTAAACGAGCTGCTCTTCAGAAAGTATTCCAAGGAATCAAATGAAGCTGAGTGAGCACTTCACTGCGCTGATGGGGAAGAGGAAGAACAATTGTCCCACTGCAGCTACTGCTACCATCCCTGGATGTGGATGAACAGCCGAACACTGTGAAGAGATACAAAACACGCAAGTCCAGGGCCTGTTTCAAGTTATGTTTGTAGATTTGCAGATGATAATAAATTCCATAGGATCTACAAAAAGTCAACACTGAAGAATTGCAGCAAGTCCAAGCTCTTGAGGTCTCCTCGTTGTCCCCTCTGCCAACAGTTCCTCATTCCAAGACAAATGCTTTGGGGCAAACTTGGGGTAATTTTGGTTCAAAAGTTCCAGTGGAATAGTTGTATCATCTGTTTTAGAAGTGATCCTCTGTTTGTCAGGTGGAACTTGGTCACTGAATGTTGACATTACAAAGACGGTATATTTCAAAAAAATTTGTTAAAAATTCTGCAGATACTTTTTGAAATACTGAAGATTCACCTTCCAGCTATTCACAGTCCTATTTTTAAATGTTTTTTCCTTAAAAACAAGAAAATGTGCTGTTCCTTACTGAGGGCCGTAGGCTCCATCATGCCAATCTCAGTCACACAAGGCACTCCCCTGAATCAATACGCTTCCTAATGGCAATAAATTGTTTTCAACAGAGCTCTGTTAAAAACCACTGACAACAAAAAACTATGATTAGCATTCAGGGTAGAATTAAATAGTGTCACCATTGATATCTGCACATGCAGGTGTTGGTCCTAAATTGTTTTATGGCACAATTCAGACCCTATTCTTATTCGTCCTAATCTTCAAACAACCCCACTGGAGCAGATTACGCCAACCCTGTGAGAGGTAGGACCTTGGCCAACAGACATCCATGGATTTTGGGGGATCTTCTGCAGAGCGAGGTGTTAACCGCAAGTAAATGTCAGATACTCTTGCTGTTGTAACATCTGGGACTTCTCAGCAGTACAATGATATTTAGCCTATAGTGCAGATGCTCTTCCTGAACTGTTTCATAGACCCGTCTGTGCAGCCCCTCCAACCTCGGGGGAACTGCTCAAAAGGGAAGTGACTGGAAGAGGGACGTCAGAGCCAGGCCCTCTCCTGCGAGGCACAAGAAATGTTTGGGCCAGATTCTTACTGGGATAAGTTTGCACAATTTTTCTAAGACTGGGAACAAATACTGAAACAATTTTCTTCCTTCAGAGTAGTTTTAAAGTCACTTAAAGTCTGAGAACACTTTCCAACCGGGAGACTGGACTTTGCTCCTCAGTGTAGTTCCACTTACTCATATGGTGACCAGCAACTGCTCATGTGAGCAATGAGTGAGGGTTTGTAGGAGTGGGAACAAAACACAAGAGCAAATCCACTTGCTCAGAAGGGCAAGTTTTTAGATTTGATAAAAAAATCAGAGCTCTGCAACAGCTTCTCCCTCCCCCACATAGCTTGTTGCTTAAAATCCTAGAGGAAAAAATATCACATTCTCTATAAATATGATCTTAGCATGATCAATTTTTTTCCTACAAAATTACATAACCAAATTTGTGGCTTGTCTATTTGTATTGCAAACCTGTAAAGGAAAGCTCTGTGAAACTCTCACACTTTCATTCCACACTATATTATGAAGGTTACTTAATTTCCTATTTTAAAAATAAAATTACATGGATTAAGAGACTTTTGAATCTTAAAAGAATGCACATATTAGGGAAATTACTTCCTGAAATAAATAGCCCACTTTATTACGCAGTCTCTTAGTTTTTATGATATTAAGGAAAAAACCCATACTTTACAGACATCTAGTTTAACACACATCGGTCAGCTTCATTTGCAAGCTCAAAATCCAGAGGTAGATAAAATATTCATTTGTTTTGGAATATATGAAGTGTTAATTTTTCATATATTAATGCACTGAAGTACTTGATACAATGTTGTTAGGGAAGGATAAAATAGTTTCCCGAAGGGTTTACTTAAGGAATGGTTACTGCAAATAAAAAGTTTCAACTAACAAGGATTCTTAAAATAGTTTTTTAATATGCTTTTAATGACCTCTACTCCTCATACCTACCTCCTTGCTTCCCAAACTGTTTGTACTGTCCCCAATAACACTCAGTGGAAAGCTGTCGTTCCTGGCTAAATCCTTACTTAGGTTGGATGCTATGCCTCCGTTAGACAGGGTCACAAGGTCACAATCGATTTTGGAGGCCACCTGGAGAGTCCAGGCCGTGAACTGACTCAAAAAATTTATATCAGAGCTGGAATGGTCCACCTCCCAGGGCTCAGCCTGTGCTAACACCCCAACCGCAGGATGGAGCCTGCCAGGCCCAGCTCAGAGAGAGGCCAGAGTTGTTGACCCCGTTAGCTGACCTCTTCAAACTTCAGGAGAATTTTTCTGGCAGTTACCACGGTGACTGGGCACTCCAAGCTTATCCTTCTTACTGAAAAAAAAAAAATTAGGAAGAAAAAAAATGTTAAAATCTACCTCGTAGGGATATCTATCAAGAATCAAATACGTAAATGTTTTAATTGTTTGCTTCTCTCCTTGGGCTGCTCTGGCTCTAACTGGTATATCCGATATGAACATCAAGAAAGCAGTTTGGCTAAAAACATTTCAACTTCTGAAAAAATAATGCTCAGTGGATTTAACGAGTAGCATTTCTAGTATCTGCCAGTGATCGCGAATGACACACTAAGAGGTTTATTGTCAAATAATATTTATTTTTCTTTCTGTATCTTTCTCCAAATTACTGCCATTCCTTACTGAATTGAGAACAAACTGAGAAAAGGCTCAGGGAGAGGATTCTATGCTGCATTTGTCTTTTTTCCTGTTGAAAACTATCTGCTTGATGAAACATTAAGTATGCAGCAATATATTGCTTTGGTCTCTTAAGAAGAGACTGCATAACCTATTTAATGTACCATGAAATATTATTTAAGAGGAAAAAGCAAAAAAACCCAAAAGTTGTCAGACATCATTACTGTTGTTTTTTTCAGGCACTTTGAACACTAATCATTTCACACATAAAATTTAGCAGGTAAGCAAGGTCTCGTGATGCTGACAGAAAACACTTCAAACACATCAAGGGATCACAGAGCACACTGAGTAAACAAGAAAACAAAGTGCACTCTTCATTTCTAAAACAATAAGGGGAAAACTGGTGCTTCTTAATTTCATAGCAATCATGTATTATATACAAAGCTTTTATGTAAATTTTCCTCATGCTTCTATACTTGAAATAGCATCTCGCAAGAGGGAGCACTGAAGAGTACACTGCATTATAGCTGGAAAAATCCTACTTAAGGGCTCCTGATGGCAAACTGTCAATCAGTATTTCCCATTTGTTATGAAATGCTCATTTCTGGAGTACAGCTAAACAGAGGCTTAATGATTGAAACTTTAATGGCATTTTGTCTCACACATGGTTGTGACGTATCTTCTGTTGTTCGAAGGGTTAAATATGAATATTCAAATTGTTGCTCAGCCACTGCTCTGCTCCTCCTGGGCTTTTCCACTGGCAGTGCTGAGATGGCAGAGGGGACCGAGCTGCTGAGTTGCCTCTCACAGGAGGAGATCACACAGACCCTGTGGGTGAAAAAATAAAGCAAGAAATTTGGGTATGAAAAGCAAAAAAGCACATTACTGATTTTTGTCCAGATTTATTTTTTACTTCTGCTGGAAGGATGAGAAAAAGGCAGTCCAGCATATGTATGTTAACTAACATTAAAAAAAAAAAAAAGTGAATACAGACACAGTACAAGACTCTTTCTCCTTTCAAGACTCGTTCAATTGCTTTGAAATATCATATGCCTCAATGCTAAATAGATACATAGACGCATGATAATATTATTTAGCAATTTTGAATTAAACATAAAAACAATTTAAATTAAAAACACTTAAAGATTGTTTTCCTATTATTAAGGGTGTGTTAGAAAAGGGCTAAGCCTCTCATTAGGAGATGAATTTTTTCATTTGTGTTTTTGTTACAGCTATACAAGATGGTTTTATGTTTTCCCTTTTTTACTCTGCATGAAATAATGTAAATCGAAACAATCAGGTGACTGATTAACAGCCTAGTGGGGAGAAAAGATGTTTGTTGCATTTTATTTTATTTTTTGCATTCTTTTTGAACAACACTGTAGATATACGCATGTGCCTTTCAATTAGATACCATGATTTATGAAGTCATGCTCAGGGCTAGCCAGGTTGTTGACTCAGATCAGAGCTATGATGCCAGCTCATTCCCTGGTGACAAACACTGACTGTCCTTCCCGCAGCCAGGCACCCCTGGCAGCCTTATGAAAAGACCTTGTGGTTGGCAGAGCACTGAGCAGGAAATGAGGTCCTCTCCGGTTTGGGACAGAGATGACTGGAGTTACAGAAAGCTGTAAAGCAAAATCAGCATCTCCTGAGTCACAGACTTTAAGCTCTAGTGGACCCCGCAGTTCCCAGTGTGACCTGGCCCACCAGCGCTGCATCGCCAGCACACCCACCAGCCTCCCACTGATTTCCCAGGGGAGCACTCTGCAAACTGCAAGTCCATCATGAAATGAGACCAATTTCATGTGGGAGAGGAGGAGACATAGCACTGCAGCCCCCCACTACACACCGCAACCAGGTCCTGGTTCTCAGCACCCTCCTGAGGGGACACTTTTCTCCCTCATCTCCGCTAGAGAATTTTTGGCACATTTCAAGATGCTTTTCTAACAATATCACAAGGCTTTTATCTCGACCTATAGCTTGGGGATCTTTTGTGTGGCCTACCCTCTTCTAGGAATTGCACATATAAATCACTGGAAAGCAGGAAATCCTTAAGACCTAGTGGGTAGCTGTATACTATGTTTGCCTCAGCATAGACAGCTGCAGACCACAGAGCATCTTACCATGTAGGTACTACAGCAACCCAGACACCTGGACCTGAAATGGGGGAACTCAGCCCCCTGTTTCAAAGATCTCTGAGTCATAAGGGAGCTTCTGGAAAGGGGTTAGAAACTCTTACTGAATTCATGGGGTAGGACTCCCTGATGTTCTCTGTGTAAAACTTTCAGTCCGAATTCCCTCAATGCAATTGAAACAATAATATTTAGACCATTTGGGGATGAGATTATTGCTTTAATAAATTGGTTTTTTATTGGTTCATTGTGGCAAATAAGCCCCCGATTGATTTTGCTCCTAATCAGCATGGAGAATGCATTCCGCTGTAATTAAATCCCGTGTAACTGGGCACTCTGTGTTCACTTGTCTCTTCACTTGCAGTGGCATGAGATACAACACATCAAACGCTATACTCTACACGATAGGCACCCTGCCAGCCCGGGGAACGATGATGCTGGCCCGCCTTTAGTGTGCTTACAAACGAGTATAGCTGGAGCACGTATGGAGCAGCGGGCATCGCTTGGGAGACGCAGAAAGTTATTAGAGGAGGAAGATGGCCAGGGATAAGGTCTTTTCTCTCGAGGAAGGTTTGAACCCTCTCTCTGAAAAGGCTACGAGAGACGGCCCCCCTCCCCTTCCCGCAGGTCCCCGGAGCCCCCGCCGCGGCTTCTCCGCCGCCGCCCGCGGGGCTCCGGCCGGGGCGCCCGGGGCAGCCGGGTCCCCTCCGCCGGCAGGAGTGCGGCCGAGCTGCCAGGCGGGCAGTTTTGAAGAGTCGATCTTCATAATACAAATCCCCCGGCTTCGCCTCCCCGCCAGCGGCGCGAGCCACCTTTTTAATTGAATCCCGGGGATTTGGCCGCAGCCGAAAGCCCCGGTTCGGGCCCCAGCGCAGTGGGTCCCCCCTCCCGAGAGCGGGACCGTCTCTCGAGGGCTGATCTCTCGCCTCTAAAACCGAGGGAAGGGCGGGCTCCGGGGGCCTGGGTGAGCCCCCCGCCCCGGGCCCCCGGGAGACAGAGCGCGGGCTCGGCGCACCCCGGGGCTGGGGGCGGCGGGGGGGCCGAGGGGCAGCTGGCAGGGCCGCGGCTGCTCCCGCCTCTCTCCCGGGCAGCGCTTTAGGGGGGGCTCAGGCCGGATCCTGCCCATTCTATACGTTAATGCTCTTTTCTCTCCGGCTGCAGGGAAGCAGGCCAGCGGATAATTACCCCTCACTGCAATCCGCAGAGCTGGCCTAATCCGAAAGCTCAAGTGCCCGTAAGTAAAACTTCAGGAAAAGTTATTGAAACTGACAAATACAGGGTGACAAATAATCAATAAAAGCCCAGTGCCACATCCTTTATTGTTTCCAGGCACTAACAGCAAGTAATGAAACCTCGACGAGGACGGGGGAGGGAGCGGCAGGGACCGGGCCCTGGGCTGGCTCCTGGAAAGCCCCCACTGTAAGAAGCCCAGGGAAGAACCTGGCAGCATAAGGGGGACGATCCCGTCCCCCTGGGAGAGAGGAAAATGTCAACCATCCCCCTCAACACCCCTCTCTCTCCCCCAAGTCCTCCCTGCTGCCCGATGGTGGGGCCGGGGCGCTCCGGGCTGGGCGAGCCCGGGAGGTGCCTGTCCTGCCGGGAGCTGCTGCCCGGACCCGCGCGCAGGGACGTCCGAGAGCCCGGTGCCACCCGGCAGCCTCGGGCCACGCACCTATTTCGCGCACCCGCACAAAAACCCAGGCCCTGTAATCTGAGTTCTGAAATATATAACACCCCTGGACACCCAACGCGCTGCTTCTCATTACCATCTCGGCCCTGGATTTTCCACGCCGCAGTTTCTAAAGTTTCAGCAAAGGACGCTGGGCTAGATAAATCCGTGCTGTCGTTTCTCTCCCTTTCTGTCTCTCCGAATTAAGTTCTGATCTATCAGTTTAAACACTGGCCAGAAAGTTGATTCACTTTCTGTTAGGATTTCGGGTTAAACCGGGGGCTCCTCCAGTGTCTTTAAGCTTTTGAGCTGTGTAAATGAACTGCAGTGTCACATAATCGATGGGGAAAACTCAGCTGTCACAGATACGAAAGCAGCCTCCTGCCACAGCAATAACGTGATTTGGCATTTCAAAGTTTGGAAACGTGCTGTCTGCGCGTCCGGGGCTCGGGGAGGAAGAAATGAACAGAAGAACGGGGGCGAAGCTCCGGGGTGGGCGGGGGGACAGCCCCCAGCCCCGGTGGCCCACAAGCTCGGCAGCCCCAAGCCCCGGCGCCCCGCACCGCGGCACCCGCTGCCGCTCCGCTGCCGCTCCCTCCCTCCCCGACACACGCTGCGAAAGTTGTTTCCCAACTTTGGCGTTTGGGGAGGGTTGACCCAGAACAAATCTCAGTGTCTCGGTGGCCTTCCCAAAGCGGCCGTGCCCCCCCGCCCCGAGCCTGCGGGACGTGCCCATCTGGAGCACGCACCGTGAGAGCAACTGTGCCGCGTACAGCCACAGCGGCCATCAGTCACTAAAAGCCACACGCTTCAGTGGGCCGAGGATAAAACGAAGTCCTGGTGACGCCTGGTTAAACCACTGACCCTCTTGCGAGGGCTGGAGAAGGGGGGGGAGGCGACCCCCTCCCGACAAGCCCAGCTTTGGGGGGCTTCGCGCCGGGCTCTGCGGGGCGATCCCCGCAGTGCCCCTCACCCCAGAGGCGGCAGCGCTATCCCCAGGGGGATTCAGCGCAGCCTTCTCGGGGTGTCTCACAGCGAGACGAGGGACGCGGAGGGCCCCGGGCAGAGCCCCCCACCCGGCCGTGCCCCTGGGGCGACAGGGGGGCCGGCTTGCGTGGGCACGGGGTTCCCATTGAAATGTTTATTTTTATATCGGCTTGGGTGGAAAAACCAACCCGTGGGCAGGATGTACTCTAAGCCGCGGGGTAACCGCTGCCCTCAGCCCCTTGTCGCTCTGCACACCCCGATTTCCTCTCACACACGCGCAAGAAAACAACTTACACAGCATGTTCAGATGCTTTCTGGAAGGGGAGGGCTTTAGCTTCAAATTAGGAAGCTCTCTCAGATGAACGATAAATTCCCCTTTGGTCAGGCTATGGTGTTTGATCATATCTTTGTGGTTTTGTCCTCAACACAAAGGGCCCCGTAGGCTGAATCAATAAACAGGATTTCAGATAGTTTGATTTTACATAAGGAAACTGTTGCATTTGTAATATTATAAGACTCTAAAGGGAAAAATAAAACCTCTGTAGCTGAGACAAGGAGTGTGCCTAAGTGCCACTACATTTCAATCCAGATCTGGATATAATTTAAGTCTCCTTTGGCTTACAGTAATATACTCTCTAACCTTGAGGCTATCCAAAAGGGGGGGATTTAATGAGGACGAGTTTATACACTTATATAATTTAGAGGTTTTGCTGTAGCTGTAAAATGACAATTGGTACATGTGTAGTGCAAAAGAGCTGAAATCCCATCCAGGGACCAAGTTGGCTATTTCTGAAGGAGCTGTCATTTCCAGCAGGGGGGCACAATGAGAAGGCCAGGAGCGATGGAGCTCTGATCTCCACCAAGGAGAGATAACCACCTGATTAAAATGGGGCTCTTGTTCCCTCGTTACTCGATCGTCGTGTGAACTTACCTTATTTACAATTATAGGCAATGAGTGAGTCGCCCAGATTGCAATATACCTATAGCTTTGGGTTTACTCCTCTCTCTGTTATCAAGACCATCTCTTGGACGGATTTCTGGACCACTCATAACATGGGAGCACACAAACGCTCTTAAGGAGGGAAGGGATGTGTTCAGAGCCCTGTACTGCGAGCGCAGTGTGTATACCCTCCCACACACCCCTCACCTGGGAACCGAGTGGGAGGCTGGGCCCAGCAGAACCAGCCTGTCGAAATCAGGATATTTACAGCGCTCAGACACGTGTGTGCACCACCAGAAAGCAAAGGGAGCCGGTATTAAGTGAAGTATTATTTTGTGCTCCACATCTGGTATTTGCTCATTTTCCAGGTGAACTCAGGCACGGCAGCTGTTGGAGGACACCCCCCTCTCAGGTCACTCTGGAGTCCAGGTGTGGACCCATGGCATCAGACAACGATGTACATCTACGCTGAGATTTAACTTTATTCTTCATTTTAATATTAAATGGTGCAGTGTTTGCCAGATTATTATCCCACTATTGCTTGTGCATTTGTCTCTTATGTCTAGTGCCTGTCATTACACAAAGCGTTTTGAAGAGCTAATTTCAAAAGACAGAAAGTCTACACTTACTATAAAAGTCATTAAATTAGCATGACAAGCATAAAGTTCCTAGGTTATAATTTGGTTATAGATCTGAAATCTTCCCTGCTTTTTCTCTCTCTTGAAGGATGAAGGCTGAAGCGAGACACCGACTCGAAGTTAGGACAATTGAGATGTTGATTGCTTAGTGGAGAAACAGGGAAGAAATGCGGGCTTCATCACCACCTTTCTGGCAGTGCAGTGGGTGACAAGAAAGAGCTCTGTTTTTCCCTCACGTGTCCCAGCAGCCAGAGAAAGG